CAAAATCTGTCGTAAGGATATACTATCAAACACTTGCTTTGATCTATTAAAGTTCAATAACAATTCTTGTTTTGTAAATAGGTCAATTGTTTAATTACAGATTTTATGTGATATTGTTTGGTTTATACCTGTAACTGTTTCGTTCTTCTTTATAACAGCTAACTAACAAGCCCTAATGTTGACTCCAAAACTCGAACCTCCAACTTCAGGATGAGAAGTTTAGTCGATACCCTACTAGACCATTCCACTTGGTGGTTCATTAATTTATTGTTGTTATATCACAATCACAACCCTATGATTTATGCATTGTGGTAAATTATATGCATTGTGGACATGTTTCATTTTGTTTAGCTTAATTATTATGTTTTGTAATTTTTTTACTATACTACCAGTTTGAACGATTGATCCAATGGTCAAACCAGTGATCCATTGACCTGGTCCTTCTGCTGAGTCGATGTCTAGTCCAATTCTAATAACTATGGGTGAACTTAGTACTTTGGTGGTGAATATGGATGGAGTGAGCTTAGAGCATCTCCAGCGTTTATTCTTTTTTAAATTTAAATTTGGGAAAAAGATCACTAAAAACTTTCTCCAATGTTATACTCGAACACATACCAAATTAAGGGAGCCTTAAATTTTTACTCAAATCAAGGAAGACTCAAAACTTTTACTCAAATCACCAATGATCTACTTACTCAAATAAAGATCTAATGGTCTATTCATTTGTCCTCTTTTAACTTTGAGTTTCTCCATTGAAGTGTTTTGTATCAAACCAAGTTTTTTTGCTTACATTTTGACTCAAATTTGAATAAAGCATCTCCAATCTTTGCCCTTTTTTAAACTTAAATTTAAATTTGGATAAAAAACTTGAAAAAACCTTCTTCAATGTTAGACCCATACCCATGTTAAATCAAAGGAGATTCATTTTTTTACTCAAATTCATACAAAAATCTTTAATGGTGAGATTTTACATTACTTAAGATTTAATAGTCATATTGTACTCTCTTTTAAATTTGAGTTTGTTCTCATTTAAATTTGGATTTCTCTTTTTTTTTTTAATTTGAATTTTTTTTTTGGAAAAATTTATCCCAAATTAAGTTTTTTGCTCATGTTTTTTACTTAGATTTGAGTAAGGGTTTGTGTTTCTATTGGAGATGGTCTAATAGTTTGAAATTAAAAAATTAAATAAAGCAAAAAAAAAATTAATATGTGAGAACAGTATTTAAAAACTTTGCCCGCCTCGATTGGTTGACCCAATAAACCAGTGAACCGGAGCCTAAATGAGCCTGTGCCTATATTAGAGGCCTCACCAAAAAGTCCAAAAGCCTAATGGGCCCCATGGCCTAGAAGCCCAACGGGCTAACGAGACACCTGACCAGTACACATGGCAGGGCTTGGGTAGCCTACTTGCCTGGCGGGTAGGGCCTAGGTCGTGTTTTTTAGGGTTGGCCCGTTATGAAGCCCATTAAGAAAGTCCGTTAGCCCCCTATTAACCTATAGAATATATCCCGTTGGATTATAATTTAGATTATATTTCATAATTATATTGTTTATTTGATATTTGATCTATAACTTTTATAAAGTTGAGACTTGTAAATGATTGACAATTATGTAGGTGTCAATCTAGTTGGGATTAGGGATGACAGTGGATCGGAGAAAAATGAGTATTCATCCAAACCTGTCCTGTTTGGATCGGGGATGAACTATACGTATTGAACGGTGGACGTATACGAGGATACCCGTATAAACCTGTACAGGGATAAAGGCGGGGATAGACTTACCCTTACCCCCGTCTTGCCCTGTCCCCATATACTCGTTAACTATATATATATACCCGTTAAACCCCCTGTAACTTCTCTTTCTCTACTGCTACTCCTCTCTCTCTACTTCTATCAGTCGATCGATCTCAAAGACTCTCGCCTCTCTTGCTGTCTCATCTTCGAAGCCACAACTCACAAGGAAGTTCTTGCCTTCTGGCTGTCTCAATCAATTGGTTTTTTTTTTTTGCATTTTTTGTGGATTCTGAGGTACTCCCCTGCCAAGATTTGATTTTTTTTTTTTCGGTTGCTCTTCCTGGGTTTGAATTTTAACTTCAAACCCTTCTTATCCTCTTTTTATCTCTGTCTTGTGAACGTGTATTTGAATCACTTTAAAATTTTTCATGTTTCATGTTTCAGTCTTCTTCCATAGATTTGCTTTGTAATTTCACATCATCAGATTAGTATAACATGACCCATTTTCAAGATTTTTCTTGTTCTTCTAAAGTTCTTGTAACTTTTATTGTTGGAGTTTTAGATGCCCTTTGTTGATTGCTTCATTTCTTTTCTGTGTTGTGATTGTTTTGACTTGTGGGTATGTTTAAATTAGGAAAAGAATCGAAGGTTGATTATTAATATAAAAAATTTCTTTGTTTTGAAAGATGGCTAGTGATTTTTGGGGTTTATAGGTCTTAGATTATGAAAAACTTGAGTGTCAATATATTACTTTGGCTAATTCTTGCAAGCAAACAAAGTATTTGGGTATCTGAATTACTTTGTTTTTCTAATTTTTTGGATAGAGAAATATTTTAGACTTTGGCGACTAAATTTTTTTCTTTTAAAAGGCTTTGTACAATATCTTGGTATTGCAATGTGAATGAATTGGATAATGGGCTTTATATCAGTCCAGAGTTATCTGGTTTGTGGTTCCATTATTGATGTGCTATTAGAACTCTCTTCTTTATGTCTTTTGCTGAAGCTTAACAGAAAACAACATATAACACATAATAGTGTAGTTGCTAATTTTCCACTGCAGTAAAACATCAATTAATGTGTACTTCTTGCGTAATTAAATGACACTTGAAAAGCCACGATTCTCTTTGAATGCAATAGTTTGCTAGCAGGGCTTTCATTGCCACATACAAGCTTGGGCCATAGAATATATGAAAATTTCTTTGTGCTCTGTGAATTGTTGAGGCTTCCATGTAAGCATTCTTGATTTGTTATTGGGATCCAAAACTTCAACTTCAACTTCCATAGTGACATAAATTGCTATAAAGACATAAATTGTCATGTACTGATTTTCAACAGTGGTGAAATGCTATAAACATTAAGCTTTTCTTGTGCATGACCTCCTTATGATTATGATGACATTTCTTGTGCCTTTTCAAATTAGTGCTACTTGATCAGCTTATTGTTTTCTTGTGCATGATCTCCTTGGGCTTGGGCGGGTACGGGAAAGTGGGGACGGGGGTTATAAATTTACCCACAGACGGGGACGGGGATGAAAATTATATCCGTTAGCGGGGGTGGACCGGGGATAAACGAAGATTTTTTAAGCGGGTACGAGGATAAAGACTATACCCCCGCCCCCGCTTCGGTCCATTGACATCCCTAGTTAGGATGTACTCAATTTTGTAATGATGCAAAATAATCTCACCTATAAATCAATTTGTAATGTAACATTGTAACTCTATATGAATATTTGTTAAATTCAATCAATATGAGTAATTTTTTTGTTAATTTATTTTTTTATAACAATTTCATATAATTGATGTCTCTTTGTAATTGTTATATAAAAATAAAATTTTTGATATTTTTTTTACATAAAAAATAATTTTTTAATAAAAAATCCGTTTCAAGTCCAATGGGTGGGCCTTAACGTCCGGAGCGTATTTAGCCTGTTTTTGGCCCAATAAGGTGGCCCATGCACCTTAAAAGTTCCTAACGGACAGGTCCGGCCTGTTGATAGTGGAAGCTCAGAGACCCGGGCCACAGGCGGGTTATGGGCTGAAAAATTTCGGGCCGGCCTAGCCGTTGCCGAGGCCTGTATTAGATCGATCAAGTAAAAAAGCCAGAAGAAAATCACTGAACCGGACGGTTTGTCAGAAAACAATTAAATTCGGACGATTTTGGACAAACTGGCCGGATCAACTAAAATGCAGTAATGCCTGCGTTTTTTGGCCATTTTGGGCATTTTCTGCCCTATATCGTTTGTGCTCTTCTCATAGCGGTCTGTGAGGTCCGACGAGCGACGACTCATTCCTCCTCAGTCATATCTCTCCTTCTCTGAAGTCTGATCTCAGTCTCTCTCTCTGAGCACTGCGCAGATGCGAAGTTGAAGTGTCGAACTCAAATACGAAGAAGTTGCTTCACCCCTCATTCTCTGCTCATTTCCTTCCTTCAAGTGCGACACAACACAACAGGTACACGGACATCCTCTCTCTCTCTCTCTACTGACTCTAGTACTCTCTAGTCTATGCTATTTAATTTTAGTATTTAGACCTGGTTGATATTATCGTATTATAAATTGTAATACTAATACACTAATATACTGCTCTAAATTTGATACATTGATAATCTACAAAACTATAGATTTTATACATTAATCTCTCTTCTATTTGACTATTTCAACATTGATCACATTATCAATTTAAAAAATTATGTATTTAATTAAGAGCATATTGTTTGATCGATTAAGAGCAAATTGCTTGTGGCTGCTTATGTTTGATCAATTGAGCAGATGAGGGAAATTTTATTCTACCAATTAGGTTCTCATATTATCTTTTGATTATTTTACTGCTTTATGGTTGTCATGTATATTCTCTAGATTGTTGATATTGAATCATTCATATTGATTATTGGATATTGATGCTATGAAATGAGATGTTGTGGGGGTGTTTGTTTGATTTAATGTACATTAAGAATACTATTTTCATAATTATTATGATTTTTTAGCTTATTTATTATTATTAATTATTTTTTTATTTTTTAATTATATTATCGGTTCGACTAGTGACCCCTTGACCCTGATTCCTTTCCTGGTTGATGTTGTGGGGTGGATTTTAAAACTACATGTGAGAATAACCAGAACCTTCTTTTACTTGTCTAGTAGATGGTACATTTCTTAGACTGACATAACATAGGTTTTGTGGGGTTTATGGTTTTTTCTTAGAGCACAGAGGTCCGACACTTCGTCTACGTACCTGTAATAGTTCAATCAACTCAGACTCAGCACTGAAGATGGCCTGGAGGCAAATCGTATCGTTGAACAGAAGATTACTCTCAGCACCTTCAAATCCGGTGCCAGGGTTTGCAAGTTTTTCCTCCAAATCCTCACCTTACATAGGTAAAACCATTTATCTTGAGTCTACACAAACAATATGTATGAGCTTGTGTAGGTATATGGGTTTGGTGATTTTGACGAGTGTTGAAATGGGTATATGCTTGAAATGTGGCAGTGAAAGTTGGCATACCAGAATTTTTGAATGGAGTGGGTAAAGGTGCCGAAACACATGTGGAAAAGCTTGAATCTGAAATTGGGGACTTCAATAAACTTCTTGTCACACGCACTCTCAAACTCAAGAAACTTGGGGTCCCCTGCAAACATGTAAATCATTTTCTTGTCCTTTGATTTGCTATTTCTCTTTAAATGGTTTTAAGTGGGGAAAATAATTGTTGTACTGTTAATGTTTCCTGAAATTTTGCTTCCTGGTGATTTTGTCTGATTCGTACTTAGTGTAGGCTGCTATACTTTGTCGTATTACTCAAAACTATATATTATATAACATTCTGTATGACATATTCTATGGCCAAGATTGATAAATGCCCGGCCCTGGTACTTGAACTGCAGTTTATGTCATCAGTTGTAAATTAAGGTGGATGGAGAGCCTGAACTTGTATGATGAAACTAGGACATTGTCTGAGAGATAATGTTCTATTAGAATTCATTATTGGTGTGTATTGTCAAAAAAGTTGCATGAATTGCTTGGGAAGGCTTATAGCTGAACTGAGATTGCAAGCGGACTAGAAAAGATTGATTTTCCTTGATATTGTTACGATAGTTAGGAAGGTATGCTCTAAAGATGATTTTGTAAGCGGATCTGAAGTTAAGTGAGGAAGGAGGAATTAAATACCTAAACCTGCTTGCTTAGGGAACCTAACTTTTCCTTCAATTGTCAAGGTCCAGTGCTATCCAAAAGGCCCATCCCAGTAAAACTATGGTAAGTAGTTTGTTCTACTCGTTTGGGATTCAAAAAGTCTGCATTGTTTTTGTTTGTTTAGAGGCCAGTAGTAACAAGATTCCATGGCAGGGGCAACATAGAACTATCTGAACACATGTTGGATTGATAAATTTGAACCCATGACAGAAATATGGAGGCTGGATGGAAAGAGAGCAGAAGTCTGATGTTTTATTCTTGAAGCTTTTCAATCACTTGAATTATGTGGCCCTAAAAGAGTATTAATAGGAAATAATCTCATATACACCATAATTCTTGAAAATATTTCAAATGTAACACCATAATTTCTGTATGTATTGATTTTGGCCATGGCTATCTAAACAACAATGCTTCAACAATTGTGTCATTCCATATAGAAGGTCATTGCATGAACCTTACTGGTAAATTCCTACCCAACTCCGCTTCTTATTGATACTGATTAGTTCCAGCTTAGTTTTGTTGCAAGTTTTCTTTTTGGACCGGACCCATTTTATAAAACACCGGTTTATCTTGCATTTGCTTCCACGCTTGTGTTTGCAGGCATTCCCTGAAAAGGGAGATGAAAGGCGTCTGCTCTGGTGGCCTACATATATTTGTGTCTTTGGTGTTTATGTACCATTTTTTTTTTCTGCTGGTGTTATCTTCCCATGCTTCATGGATACTCATTATTATCATGGATAACTCATTATTATTGACTGTTCTCGTAGTGTTCCTTTGAGATATGATTTAGCAACAGAGGGGTTGCGTCATATTGGGTATGTAGCTTTACATTGAGGGATCTGCTTATTGTTTGTCACATTGCAACTGGTGGGTGGTTGGCAAATGATGTGCTCTTGGTTGCTCAGTTTATTTGAAATCTTTTATGGACACTATATAGGCTTTAAATAGCAGCTTATTCATGGTATCTGTAGATATCAACTTTATTAGGAGTGGCCAAGCACTTGTTCCCCTTCTGAAATATTGCAGTCTAGCTTTGTCATAAGATTTATCAAACATGGCAACTTAGTACAAAATGCCTAATATGCTGATAAACTGAAATAAAAATATACCAAAGTCTTATGAATATTCTCTCCCACACTTGTATATTGCAATACTTAAGCTGATGGTTCTGTTATTATGCCTATACTAAATTAAGATGTTCTATTGGTATTTTTGCATTGCATCTTTCTTTTTTGATAGTTGTCAGCTATCAACATTCTTTATAAAGATTGATAGGTAAGGTGAAACAGTTCTTTCCCTGATAAGTATATAATCTAGTTTTACAGAATAATATTGCAGTCCATGCCATTAGTTGTGTGCCCGCTTTAGCTAGTTTAATATTTTATGTCTCAACCTGTTAGGAATCACTCCAGCAGTGAGCCAAAACAGAAATGACATTTCCCTCTTCTAGCAGGTCAACTGCTTCAGTGCTAACAATGTTTTGAGTTCTATAGATGTTCCAAGCATAGTTTCATTGATTTTTGAAGCCATAGTGCTGTACTGTCTTCCCCCAAGGGCTAAAATCCTGAAACATATGTGATACATACTGAGTGATATTTGAGGTTGCTGAGTTAACAAGCATAATTAGCACACATTCGATGAATGCAAACTTCGCCTGTCTAGAAAGTCTTATCTCTACTCCAGCACCTTGGAGGTTAACTCAAGGACTATATGTGTTTTTAGTCCTTAAAGTATGCACTTGTGTTAGTTTGGTCCCTGAAATTTTGATTTTGTCAATTTAGTTAGTGATGTTTCTAATTTGTGTTTAGTTGATCCAAATTTTAACTGCCACTGATAAAAATTACAAAAATATCCATGTACTAGTCACGTGAGTGGTATATGAGGGCAATTGTGGAAACAAACCCGTATCTATATTGGGTGAAATTGGTTAAAGTCGAGTGGACATCAAATGGATCCACGCTGTGTCACCCACAAAAGTAACCATGAAAAAAAAAACCAATATAAGATTCTATCACTTCTAACCAAAACCCAATTCATCCTCTTTCTGCCTCACTCCCCCCTCCCCCTTCTTTTAGCTCACTTTGCCCTTTGACCTCCGCCCCGACCAACATCACGCACTAGAAACCGCTCCTATTCCCCCAGCTACCATCGCCTCACTATGCCCAAAAGAATCTGTATCTGTTTCTCTCACTCACCAAACCCCTTCCATAGAACCTTAAATCCGAAATTTTTGAGTGTATCAGGGTTATTTAAGGCGTAAAGCGAACCGAAGCGACCAAGACTCCTAAAGCCTACCCGAGAAACAAGAAACGAAGCGAAACACTTCATTAAATGGAAGCAAAACACTTCATCAAAACGAAGCGAACACTTAAAAAAAAAAAGTAAATATTTTAGTATAATTACTTCTAAATATCTAAGTTCTAATTTTACAAATATTAAATATTTAAATGCAAGCAAAACCATAAATATTTAAATTTAAACAAACACTAATAATATCTCAAATCTTAATGATAGTCATAGTTTAAACATTTAAATTCAGAAAATTAGCACTACTATTAGCAAAATCAGTATTACAGAAAATTAGAATCAGCAGAAATAAGTAGTACAGAATTTGTAGAAATAAGCGGTACAGAAAATAAGCACAAGCAATACAAAAAATCAGCATTAAGCATTATAGAAAATCAGCAGAAGCAGAGATCAACAAAATCAGCATTAAGCAGAGAAAATCAGCATCAAATTAGAAGCATTACAAAAAATCAGCATCAAATTAGAGGTTGAAAAAAAGCAGAATCAGCATTACAGAATCAACAAAATCAGCAGTAAGCAAAAGTAGAAGCATAGAAGTAGAACCAAAAGCAGAGAAGAAAAAATAGAATCAAAACTAGAAATAAACCCAGGAGCAAAAGCAGAAGCAGAAAAAGAGAAGCAAAAAGCAGAAGCAGAAAAAGAGAAGCAAGAAGCAGAGAACTAGAACCAGAAGCAAAATAAGAGAAGTAGAAGCAAAAATAAAAACAAAGAAGCAAAACCAGAACCAGAAGGAGAGGAGAGGAGAGGAGAGAAGAGAACATACCTCTATTGTCAAAGAAGAAGACGGAAGTAGTAGTATAAGTAGGAAATGTAGCAAGGTACCAGTATTTTTTGTCAAAGAAGAAGAAGAAAAAGTAGAATTAAAAAAGTAGAAGAAGAGGAGAAGGAGAGAAATAGAGAAAAAGTAGGTACCTGTGTGTGGTTTGTTTGTTGAAGAAGAAGATAGAAGCAACAAATGCAAAGTTTTCTGTCGAAGAAGGAAAAAAAGAATTAAAAGAAGAGAAATAGAGAAGAATAAGAAGAGAAATGGAGAAGAAGGGAAAAAGAAGAGAGAAGAAGAGAGGGGCAAACCTGTGGAGCAGCGAGGAAGGAGCAGTAGTAGCAATCCTTTGACTTTTAGGCAAAATTAGGGTTTTGGTGTTGAATATATTGGGATAAGCGGGCAATTGGGTGTATGGGCATCTCACAATTTTGTTCCAATTGTCTCAATCTAACGGTCCATAATAAAAATTAAACAATCCAACGGTCTATAATAAAAAAATAAAATAATTTAAAAAACTTAACTAAGGCGTCGCTTTTCGCTTAAGTGAAAGGTGTTCACTTTCTCACTTTTCCATCGCTTTAGTTATGTTCGCTTCGCCTGAGTTGTTCAAGGTGAGCCACTCTCGCCTCGCTTCGCTTCTCGCCCAGGCGAGCTTTTCACAACACTGGAGTGTATGTCTGACTTGTGGTGATCACTAATCGAATTGGTTAATGGATTTTGTGTTGACTATGTTGTTGGGTGTGAACGGTGGTATAAATGGGACTCTGTTCATAGTTGATTGTTGGCGACGTGGCTGGTGATGGGTGAAGTGATACATATGCGTCTATTTGTATACATGTACATATAGAGAGAACGAAGATGGCGGGTGTGGGTGGTTATTTTGTTGGCGGTGTGGGTTACAGGTGGTGGGTGAAGAGCGAGAGAGAGAGAGGAACAATGCATTGAAAGAATAGTTGAAAATTGCATGACATCGACAATTGGGATGGAGACAAATGGGTTATGCTTCTTGGGTGACCACTTGATGAGACACAATTAAGTGGAGGAGGGTGATGCCGGTGGTTATGTGAGCTTTGAAAAGGGTGGGGGTGGGGGGTGGGGGGTGGGGGGTGGGGGGAGGGGAGGGGAGAGGGGAGAGGAAGAAGATAGCTGATGTTGTTTATTTCCAAATTGGCCCTTTTGAATCCTCCAAATCACTAATAGTCCTCCCTGTCTAGATATGCTCCTGGAGAAAATGGTCATGTGACGAGCCCTTGCTTAGATCTATTAATAATTTAAATGGATTTGATATTAATTTAAATAGCAGTTAAAAATTGGACCATTAAACACGTTAAAAAATTAGGAACTAAATGACAAAATTAAAATTATAGGGACCAAATCGATACAGACACATACTTTAGGGACTAAAAGTTTATTTAGTCATTAACTCTATCAGTGATAAATCACAAAAATCTGATGACGACAAATATTTATCTTTTTCCAAATTTTCCTTAGCAATGTTCGAAGCTGACATAAGCTCAGAATTTCATTAGTAATTATCGCGTGTCACATATTTTGACCTTTCTTTATGAATGTTGAGCGGTGGAAACATAGTGACCTTTGTCCTGGAATTTAACATCATCCCGTGAGCATTTCCTTGTAAGTGTTGAGGTCCCTGAATCAGAGAATCCCATGGCATACTTGCATGATTCACAAAGTTTTTGAGAAGTCAATGTTTGACATTGTAGAATTCATGTCAGCTGAACAAGAACCTTCCGAACTTTTATTATCATTTTCACTTTCTGATTTTCTGTGCCTGCTTTAGGTGCGTAGTTGCTCTTTGGTGATGGATGAGTATATACGTTTTTGGAACTCATAGAGGGCATATTGGCATTAAGCTGTATGGCCTTTTCTGCTTGGCAATAGTATGTTACATTTCTCATTTGCATGAACTTGTGTGTAGCTTACCTAGGCCCCTTTTAGGGTTTTTGCATGTTTACCTTTGTATTGGACTTTAGTACTTTGGTCAGATATTTGGAATGTTCAACCAACATTAGTTGATGGCAAAAAGCTATGCCATTGTGTGCTCAGCCACATTTACCGGGAAAAAACTAGTTCTCAGCACGCAGGGTTGTGGAGTATTAGTGAGATTTTCAGTGTTTTTATGTGCGACGTTTTGAACTTTTTATATTGTTTTGGCATAATCTCATTATGACATTATTTTACTTATTCCTTACTATTTTACTCTCTCAGAGCCAATTTTAACTCACTGATTTTGCTCTTACAGAGAAAGCTGATATTGAAGTATGCCCACAAATACAGACTGGGACTTTGGAGGCCTAGAGCTGAAGCTGTGAAATCTTAGATGACTCATGAAGTAGCTGGTGCTTTGCAGACATCTTTATATGAGTTTATTTGAGGTTTGATCGAGTATTAGAGACTCTGTTTTGAAATCTCTCGGTTACCTCTCTAATCCTTTGGAGTAGGTTTAGTGGTGTAGGTGACTTATCTGGTGCATGATGTTCTGGATTTGTCTATGTAGACATACTGATTTGTTGAATAAATTGCATGCTGGTGGTGTGAAAGTAGAATGGTGGGCTTGCAGAACCAGATGACCTATTTTTGCCCATAATTTCCTTTTTTAGTCATTATAAACTTCTCAGATTATTTCTGTGCATACTTTTAATTGCAATTTGTTGTAAAAACTAATCCACATTATGGAGTATTTTCCAATCCACCTTGGCTAATGATGCATCTATTTCGTATAATGCGGCTTTTATTCAATGTGAAGATCAGATATTATAATTGGTTCATGGCTAATCCAATCCTTGGCTCACACTATTAGGAGATGATTTTTGGTTACTGGTCCTTGCACGGTTGCCCCAGCTTTTGTTCTTTTTTGCAGCTAGATCTGTACTTCCAAGATTCGCTTTCACATCTCTCTCTCCCCGTATTCCAAAGAACCCTGTTTCTGTCCATACCTGAAATCAAAGTATAACAAACCAAAAAAAAAATTTGTTAATTAAAAGACATAACAAATAGAAGCGTGGTAACGACATTATGGAATGTACATCCCACTAAGTAAACATCTTGCATTCATTATTTTAACATTCAATCACCTGTTCAGCAATACTTTTACGAACATATTAAATGTAATTATGATTGCACACATAAATCTCAGATTAAAATAATTATTATTTAAAAAAATTTTTGACAAAATTTCCTCTGAAAATATAAATTCCTAAACAATATCAACTTGTGCGTACAAATTATATAAACAAAATGCTATATAAATCAACACTATCTTGCATTAATAATCTCATCGCATCAGGTTAGTACTACTATTATCAGTATTAATCAACACTTTTCTTAACCACTGCAAGTAGCCTTTTCCATTATGTCTTAGAAAGGCATCACTTGAACAGATGTGCCTTACTTTATCTAGCCTAATCCATTTAAAAAAAAAAAAAAACTGCTTTCTATATTACTTTTCTTCTCTTTTTCTCCACAACACAGTCATGGGAGTTACAATTTCCTCCTTACATAAAACCTCCAACACTCACGAACATCAACCACGTCAACCATACGACCACAAACAAAATTGGTGGAAAAAAGAAGTTAGTTTGTCAATCACTAAGCACACCTTTTGGATTACCATAGTGCATTCCAGAGCCTTGTAAACAACTGTATAGATGAAATAGGAAATCATTCCTCTTCTTCCATAGAAACAGGAAACCATTGGTTTTGGTAGCAACAAAACAAACTAAAATAGAATTTTTTGTCTACGACTCCATGTTGCTTCATTTTTCCCAAGAAAGATTAAAAAAAAAAAAAATTCATCTTAGTTTGGTCAAACACATGATTTAGGGTCTCTTCTTGTAAAAAGTTTTAGTTTCTAAAATATTGAACAATCTAAAAACTTCAAACTTCAAACTTACAATCTGTGTATAGAGAACAATACTAAGACTAAGGAGTATTTCAAAGAAACTAAAACAAGATATCAATAGTAATGAACAATACTTGCCCAAAAATGTAAACTCAGACAGAAATTCTCTACAATACATAAAAAAAAAAAAACAACATAATAACAATTGCATGATATTTTTACAATTAAGAACTGCTTCGATCCAAACAATAATGCCTCAAGGTTGTTAAAAATACCTTAAAAAACTCCTATAAGGCGACAAAAAATCAAATTCCTCACTCACACAACCCTCTCCCACTCACATATACACCCAAGTTCAGTTTTAGTTTTGTCCAATTTCAATAAATTAACACCTAACTTCATGAAATTAATATCAAATGTCATACGATTAACAAAATCCCATTGTCATAAGGAATTCCATTAAGCATGCCTTCTTCATGCCCAAAAAGTTGTAGTATTTTAAACCCTCTTTTTATTTTTTGATAATCATGGTAGGCCATCCATAAAGAGTTTTTGTTCTAACATACCAATTACCTAGCTTTATATGGTTTGTCTTCACTGTGAAGAAGGCATCCAAAAATGGAGGTTCCCATGCTCACCACCTCCAAAAAGTGGCAGCTCCATGCTCCCACGACTATCATGTATTCCATAAAGTAAATTCGTATCTCTGCACAACCAATGATATTGTCAAGTTCAACAAAGAATTAAAAAAAAAAAAAAATTAAAAAGAGGTAATCAAGAAATAGCGCAAGAAAGAATTTAATTTAATTTTTTTTTTTAAAAGTAACATGTTTCGTATATGAAATCTTAACAACACAAATTAGAGAAAGCAAGTGATCTACACATGATTAAAAAGAGGTGATAAAAAAAGAACCATTTTTATTGTTTTCAAGAAAAAACTAAAAAGGAAAAAAACTGTGCCTTTAGGCACTATATAACACAAAAAAAATAACTTTAATACTAAAAGTTATGGTATATACAATACTTTTAATGACAATAACAAAAATTATTTGTAGTCATAAACTTTTAATGAAAATACCACAAAATATGAACTAAAATGATAACAAACACATAAACACCCTCATTTTGCCTATATGAATTCTCACCTTTTTTTCGTTTAGTCATCGGCCATTCTCACATTCATTTACTTATATTGAATTTCTTCGATCACCACAAGCAAATCCCCATAGTAAATACTTTCCTCCACCAAATCATGTTCCACTATTTCAAATCTCCAATTTTTACAACAAGAAGCATTTCCACCGAACCAACATCCATAATGCACTCCGCCTAGTTCATGGTCCACCCACCATACATTCTTTGCTATCCATGCTTACCCAACCTCTAAATAAAAAAAAATACTCGAAATACCACTAACCACCTTCACTTTAATACCACTTCCACTAATTTGTAACGGAAAAATTGGGAAAACAAAGATAAGAGGATTCCCTTCGTAATAGGGATTCTTTCAACATCTAAAAGAGTGTACCAATGAACATCAACTCAACCCAAATAAAAAATTACAGTAAAACTTAAGAACATAATAAACTTTCAATTGAGAAAGTTTTTTAAACCCGTAAACCTTTATAGATTTTAAATAACATAGATCACATTCAAAGTGGTATGACACTAATTGTTCATGCGAAACACCACTTAACATATGCATTTTAGCACAATATGCACACCACCATAATTAAGATTGAAAACATCTAAAAAATAGTTTTACCACTGAAAAAGAAAGAAAATGACAAACTTGGGAGCGTAGGCACTCAGTTAAAGATATTCTAATCACTCATATGGCCCCACCACTAATGTAGTTTTTCCCACCTTCATTTTTCTAAAGGACAAACATCAAGAAGCATAGAACTCAGATTGACTAAATCAAAAAATCAAAAATACAAAATTAAATCCACTTGTTCATTATATTATAAAAATGCCAAAACTGCATATGTATAAATGCGTATGTATCCATCACTTAAACTGATCCAAGTGGACCCATATTAATCAAATTTAAAACCAATACATGACATAAGATTTAAATAACTTAAAAAAATTTGTACTTTCAAAACAAATCCACGTTACTCTATTTTAAAATTAATTAGTTGACATTGAAAATCGATACATATAAACCACACTTGATCAAATATTTGATTTCAGTTTCATTAATGAACCCTATCTAAGTACAACATGAAAATTCAAAATTTTTAATGTTTTAAAAATTACTTAGCTATTCTAAAATAACAAATAAAAAATTATCTTGCGACATGAGAGTGTCAAGTGTCGAGTGGATGTGTTTGCCACTTGAGTTCAACTATAGCAAAAGTTTCCTCCCAATTCGCATCAAATTGAACCTAATGACAATAGAAATACATGTGTAGGTTTTGAAAGGGATGTTGGTGGCCGTTAAATGAGCCTATTTGAGATCGTCAGATCGATTTATTGAAGCCTGTCATGTTTTATATAATAAATTATAGATAATGTGACGTTCCAAAGTCGGTGCTTGGCTTTCAAGTTTCAATATGTTATGCGGACAACCAACTGTTGGATTTACTCAACTGGAATTGCCTGAAAGTTCCAACTGCTTGAATTTAGCTCCCTTTGCTCAGCTCCATTTAGTGTTGTTAGTTTGGAAATGAAAATTTAAAAAAAAATTCAAAATTCTTTACTAAACCAACATTTACAATGGAAGCACACACTGGTGCATGTTTTACGCCGGAAAATAGGTTTTTAGCCAAAAGAAGCAGTTATAGAAATAAAAATCTCTCTTATAACACCCCATAGATTACGATTTAGATCAACTCCATCATACTTTTACTCAATCTTATAGATCATTTATCATTAATACACATGAAATCCACCATTTACTAATGGGTCCTTCACCCATAAACAATGGATGATCTACCATTGATTGAAATTGAAGAGTAATATAATAAAAAATATCTAAATCCGATAAATTAGTGCTTACTAGTTGGGTAAGCTTAAAATGCATACAAGTTGTCAATGAAACATTGAAAACCTTCTATACAAAACTTGGCAACTAGTTCCGAAAAAATCGATAAGATAAAAGATCAAATCACTGACAACTTGGCAACTAGTCGTCAGTGACAACACCTATGTGTGCATGTTGGGAAGGATGCTAGCTTCTTGTTCAAAGAATAGATTCATATTGTTGCAATCATTTCCTACCCAAATCCTATAGCTGAATAATGTGTGGGCGTGTATTAGAACAAGGGTAGTTTGTATGTGAAATAAAGTACAATAATTTAGCTTGAAATAAAGAAACAAAAAAAAAAAAGCGGTGGTGATATGATAAAACATGATTATGTAGGGACATATTATGTTATGGATGTACTATGCTATATAGAATGTGTGAAGTAGATTATTGAAAAATCAATATGTTAGTTGATTATAATTATTATAATAATCATTGATGCGAAAACTATGATATGAAAATTTGATGGTGTAAATAAATTTGGAATTATAATACTTATCTTTGACATTGCATCAATATGTAAATGCATGTAATTGTGGAAACCTATGAATAAGTTTCGATATCACAAAAAATTTGATGAATTAAATTAGTGATGTTTTAATACAAATATGCATTTGGAAGTGAAGGTAACTGAGATAAAATTACATGAGAAAGGGGAATGAGATGTTTTGATAAGATTTGAATAATTGATGTTTGAAATAAGTATATAGATAGATGTTTCATCTATGCCTATTGAATCTTAATATAAGTGTGGTTATGTGTATGAGGGTTTGTTTGGGTATTGAAATGATTATAGTATAGATGTCCAATGTTAGAATCAGTAAGAGGAGAATGATATCAAGCTATCAATTAAAAGGCAAATGTGATGGAGGTAAGCATATGTTGAAGTTAAAAGGGGTTTTATTTTTGTTTGGTAGGGATTCTTGTAAACCATATATTGAACACTCAAGATACTGAAGTTTTGTTATAAATGGAATATCAAATATAATTGGCATGTGAATTCAGTTCTATAGTAAATACAACTCTCACAGGAAAGTTGTGGTTAAAGGTAGTACGAGAAATAC